TCCACCGAAACGATGCAAACTCATTTGAAATACCTGTTAAGTATCGTACATACTCTAACGTCATTCGTACCTTTTCGTGTTTTCCGGCCATGCTACTGTCCACATGCCTTTTTTTTCTCGGCTACACTTTCATTAATAAATACGAATAAGCTCATAAGTTCCTTTGGGGAAACGCTTCACAGATAAGTCAGCATTTCGAACTCTATATATTGATATGCATCAACCTTTAACTTGTCACTTCAACCAAGTGACTCATGGTAAGAGACACTTTCATTGTCAGTCTACTTTTATTATTTTAAAGTTCTTGCAATTTTTTCTCTTTCTTGTTATCATTGAAGAATCAGTGTTCACGTGAACCCTCTAATTAATGCTAGGAGAAAAAAGACGATTATCCGGAGGGAAACTATCGCAAGAATGCTTGAGGTAAGCGCGAAGAGATTATTGCCTCCCCTCCCTGGAGAATAAGCGGCAGACCTTTGGAGGATCCTGATACGCCGCCAAATGCAAACTGACTGGTACCATGTTAGAGAGCGTAGCCGAAAGCAGTATATGCAGCACAAAAATGGAATCCGGTGTCAAATTTGGAGAAGCATTGTGCGCCGAACGCTTTTTTGGCCGGGTCGTAATTATACGAACACCTCAATCAGAGCTCTTTTGTTGCTTGAGGTTGCAACCTCCAAGTTGGCTCCAAAAATGCCTGCTTTATTCAGATTTCAAACATTTATTTGATTCATACGATAGAGGATCAGGGATCAATAAATGTGCTAATCCAACGCTTAGAAAACATTAATGTAGCCGTTCCATTGGCAGCCCAGCCTAACCACACCATAAGATTGGCACAGTTTTGAGCCTCAGAACTAGGCTTCAACCTACCCAAAAGATCTTTGGTATGTATGCACATCGCGAACTTGATTTTGTGTATAATGTACAAGATTCTTACAACATACAATATCAAACGTAGAGCACTTGTGTTTTCTTTTGTTTTCACCACGCACTCAGCGTTCAATGAAAATGTGTAAGCAAATCAATGCAAGCATGCCTCCTCTTGTTTTTTAACTCCGATGCTTTGAGGATAGGTTTGCGTATTTAAAAGCTTTAACACAGAGGGTATTATCACCGTACGAACGATGCATTTACCTCATCACAGAACTTTGCGGACGGCTGAGACCGTCCGCAAAGCCTAGTTTTGAGGCTCAAAACTGTGCCAACCTTATGGTGTGGTTAGGCTGGGCTGCCAATAAAAAATGGTCACATTAATTTTTTTCCAAGCGTTGGAATAGCACATTTATTGATCCCTGATCCTTTATCGTATGAATTAAATAAAAGTTTGAAATCTCAGTAAAGCAGGCATTTTTGGAGCCAACTTGGTCCGGAGCAATTTGAAGCTGTGGAAGTAAAGTTCTTCATTTTAAACCTTATTGGGTTCAGCGCGTAGTATGCTTCTCAGACTTTGAGATCTTAGCCTTACATGAAAGCGAAAAAGATTGCAGCCTCAAGCAACAAAAGAGCTCTGATCGAGGTGTCCGTATAATTATGAACCGGCCAAAAAAACGTTCGCGCACAATGCTTCTCCAAATTTGACACAGAATTTCATTGTTGTGCTGCATATACCATTTTCGGCTCGCTCTCTGACATGGTACCAATGGTTTCTTGCATTTCTATCAAAATGTCTGGAAAATGGCAAAATATGGGATGTTCGTATAATTATGAACCGATCTTTAGAATGTGTTTTGACTGAGAATAGATATCTATGAGGTAAAAAACGTTCTTCAAAGGTATCACACCTCTGAAAAACGTTCTAATATGATTTGAAGATTGCATTACGTTTTTAAGTTTGATTTGAGTGTTGGGGAAGGCTTGAAGGAAAAACATACAGAGGTAACGCAGCTGCCATTACATTTCGTCAAAGAAGACACCGATTAACTGAAGGGGATCTCAATCTGGCTCATCGCCTGAGCTTCCCTCCACCTCTCTATCTGCTTGGCTTTGCAGCGAGAAACGCCTTTAGATCGCCTTGTGGACCTTCAAACTGAAATCCTTGTCTGCAATGTTGTTCCATCGAAGAACTTGCGTTGAAAGTCCAAATTCGGCAAATATTCGATGCCACAACTTTGAGAGGTAGTCGTCCAAAGAACTTATCTATGTCACCTAGATGTGCGCATTTCTTCTAATCGGTACCCAATATCATGCTTATTATGAACTCTCAAGCTGGTTTGTAAACCACATTATGCAGAAGAACCTCAACAAATTTATACTTTCAATCGCTCAGCTTTTTACAATAAACCGCGCAGAAGATATGGTTGGTAGAATCTAGAATCAACTCAAAAAGATCGGCTCAAGATAAATCAACAAGATAATCGTAATATTTTACTAATGAAAAATCTCACGTCGTTGTGGCTATTTAGATCAAAACGCATATCATCAATGCGTCTTGTTGAGCTGGTCTCAAATCTCGGTTCCATATCTTCTGCCCTTCTATAAGTTCCGGTTTGAAAGGTTGTGAGGTTTTGAAAGTCGAATTTGATTTGCACAAGATTGAAAAGGTAGTTGTTTGCAAACATTTATCTATTTTGCCGGTGTATGTGTGCATTCCTTTTAGTCAGTACAACAAACCGTGATAACTGTGCATTTCCGAGCTTGTTTTTAGAGCAGATTCTGCATTAAAGACATGATAACTTTACATAATGATCGCTTGTAACTTTTTCTAAAGAACACCGACTTCGGAAGTGCACAATTAAGCTTCGTCCAGAGTGCCGGGGCTGAGATGCTAGCGCCGTGTCGGCGAACGCTACCGAAAATTTCGAAAAGAATTTTAATCAATACCCGGTGCGCTTGCCTCCGGAAACAAGGTCAGCCCTGCCCTTAATGCTGCGTTCATACTAATCCGGAAGTCCGGGAACAGTTCCAGCACAACGCTCAGTTCGAGCGTTAGTCCCGAATCAGTATGGACGCAGCCCAAAAAATGCACGTCTGTTGGTCAAAACAGCGCCGGGACAGCGCGACACCATATCGGCGCTAAGTCGGCGCTCCTGTACTTTGGACGGAGCCTTAGCATAGCGTTGTTGTACTGACTAAAAGGAATGCACACATACATCGGCAACCTAGAAAAATGTTCTCGACTAACTACTTCTTAAGTTTGTCTACTGAGTGCTTGCCCATTTCGGGCTCCGAACGCTCACAAATTTCTAGAGAACCGCGCAGCAGATAAGGAAGGTGACTTGGAATCAGCTCAAAAAGGCGAATCTAATAATTCGCATATGGTTCCAGATCGCCGTGGCGATAAGAAATTCTTCCCTTGTAAGAAGCGGAGGCACTGTAGCTATGTCAAAAGTTTTCGCTAACAACAATGTCCTGAGAAGTTTTTTTTTGGAATAACCACACATTTAACATAATTGAAACTCGTATTTCAAGAAGCTTTCTTTGTGACTCGGTGAATTAGCGCCAATTAGTTGGTCGGTCACATATAAATAAACAGAAGACAGTATACATATAGGGTGCGGAAAAAGTGCTGTCCCTCAGTTTGCCTCCCGAAAAATCTCACAAAGAGCACACTCTCGTCTCCAAAATTCTGTACTCATAATGAATCAGCGCCTTTTGATTTTGACTAAACAAGGAAGATTATATCCCAAGCGAATTCCAAAATTTCACAAAAAGAGACTAATCAGATCTGCTCTTGCTCAATGAATTGGATCCAAACTATGGTTCGAAACTCCAGATTCAAACAAAAAGTAAGAGGAATGATAAAAAGGGCATCGGGCTTTGTATACATTATAATTTTGAAGCACCAAACGATTGTACTTAGTTTCTGTGCCACTTTTTCTGGTTGCAACCTGTTGCGCCGCAGACGCTATTTCGTTGGAAAACTTCCCAAATTTTCTCCAATTGCAACTGCGGCCTGGCCACTCCCAGCATATTTCGAAGATACTACAACATTCCTTAAGCAGTAGAAGATTTCTCAAATCCATGTTGGAAACAAAAGAGTTTTCCAAAAAACTTCACACTTTCTTTACATTTGTAAAAGGGATTTGCAAGATTTGATATGGAATGTGCTGCGAAAGGGGATCCGCCGCCGGGTAAAATTGCAGAATTTTTGAGCCAATTTTTGTAAAATGCTAGAGTACATGCACATCTTAGGATCTGTGTCAAGTTTACCAGGAAAACGTAAGAATTACGCCGATTTTTCTGGCTTTATTTTGAGGGACAGTACTTGTTCCGCACCTTGTATTTAGCAGTAAACTGGAAGAAGCCGCACCAACGACATTGCTGTTCCCTTGTCTCGGACACAATTCGAGTCTTCGATTTCCAAATATAGAGGAGAGAAGAGATAATTATTCATTGGGAATAAAGGAAACAACCAAAACAGAGGCAAATGAGTGATCGACACCGACAATGGCTCTTTTCCAGCGCACACTGAGAATGCATTCGACTCAGCGAGTGCAGATCATATGAGGAACACTGATCAAACAAGTGTTCTGAAGAGCATGGAACAGAGAAATAAGTCGAATACGATTACAGAACCTCGAAGTTGCTCGCGCCCTCATCACCAATTGAAGACTTATGGTAAGCAATTGAAAGTGGTAATTGGTGCTCATGTTATGCCCAGTGCAGAACGATATTGGATGATATTTACTCTGTTGATGAAATTTTGAAGAATTCATGTCCTTTTTTCATACTCTTCATCACCATATCTCTTAAAAACGAAGTTCTGCTAAGCGGATGTAGTGATTTTTGTCTTCAGCAGGTCGGACGATTTCTATGAGCAACTTGACATTCCGGTCATCTGATTTTTTTTTGTTTCAAGCTCTAAAGCTCGCGTTGGTTCTGGCGAAATCGTTGATGGTCTTGGATTGAAGTCATGAAAATTTTCGAAATAATTGCTTAGATGTGCTCGGCGCTATTCCGCCACCAGAAGAGCAGGTCTTCAACTTTCAAAAGCCAGAAATCAATTAAAAATAAGATAGAGGTGTCTGTTGGTGTACGCTTTGTATGGCTAAACTTACTTCCAATAATTTTTGTTCCGTCGTAGCATTCGAGCGTCGTGCAAAGATGGAATACGAAAAAAGGAAGAAACAATTTGAGATAAAACATATTTTTTAATCTGAAAATATGCGGTTAAACACACTTCACGTAGCATTGTTTGGGTCGACAAACTATAGCATTTTGACAACACATAATGACAATACAAGGAAAGAAAATTGCTGATATATGCGATTGCGCAATAAATACATTTTGAACGATTGGGCCGAAAACGGTTGTCTCAACCGAAAAGGAGGAAATAAACCAAAAAGAGACTTTTTATTGCTTTAAATGGTGGGAATACGAGTATTGTTTCGCTAGCAAGGCGTAACAAATGCCGTCCAAAAACTAGTCAAACAAATTCGAATCATAATTGCGTCACTATTGAGCATCAAAACTCCTGATACGAATCTGTATCAACCTCTCATTTTTAAGTAGTCAAGATGGCTATCAAACTTCCACAAGCAATTGCAAACCCAAAACTTCTCAAAAAGAGCTGCAAAATGTAAATGTGCTTTGCTTTTTTCATGATATTGATACAGATTTTCTCTATTATTAGGGCTAATATGAGCTCGTGCGGCTCGGTCCTGCGCCTAACTTTAATTACTTGAAGGCAGTACCCTGGCAGATTTTGCATTTTTATCTTCTTGCATGTTTTGAGCCTTTTTGACTCGTAGACCCCCAATTTGAGCTTTTAAACGGATGAAAAGACCTTTTCCGCGGCGTTTACCCAGATTCAGAATGGCACTCGGACGAGAATTTCAATGAAAAGTTGGGAGGTCCTGGCACGAAGACCTTGCTGCCTGTAATTTTTGCTTTGGATAGCATGCACAATGCGGGAGAGCGGTCGTGGGGTCCCGCGCCTAACAATAAGAGAAATCGTCCGATTGGGGTTGCTCGCGCCGTTTCAGAGGCTGTTTTCTCGGCCCATCGAAAACATCAATCAGCCGGACTGCGCCTGGAGGTCAGCGAGATGACCAGGAACCCCACTATAGCAATATCCCCCAAGGCGTGAATCCGCTGGGACACTGCCTTTGAGCGTGAAAGATGATTAGAGAGCACGCCCGCGAAAGAGGTGCGGAGCATCTCAGACAATCGACGGGACCCCTCCGCCGGACAGTCCGAATCTGCCAGAGTCGCGCCGGACCCAGTTGACCAATGAGAGAGGGGCAAATGGGCGGTCCGTCGCGGTGACATCACTGGCAGGCAAGTGGGAGGCTTCTCCGGCCCTGCTGCAAAGGTCCGCCATTTCTCCGGCGCGACTCTGCCAGATTTGGCGGACTCGCGCCGGAGAAATTTGTCCGGCGCGAGTCCGCCAGATTTGGAAGAGCCGCGCCGGAGAAAATGGGAGGGGCCCGGAGCAGAAATGGGAGGCCTCCGGAGCAGAAAATGGGAGGTGTCCGGAGCAGAAAATGGGGGGTATCCGGAGCAGAAAATGGGAGGTATCCGGAGCAGAAAATGGGAGGTATCCGGAGCAGAAATAGGAGGGCCCCGGAGCAGGCTGCGTATCGATTTGGCGCGTCGTTGCAAATCATTCATTGCTAAGGCGTGGTGTTGATTTCGCAACCAAGTCTTTTTGCTTCATTCTGTCGTCGCACATCAAAATAACGTCAGAATTCTATTATAATTTGGTTTCTGCGTTCCAGCTCTTTCGGGCTTTTTCGGACTTTTTTGGGTTTTTGGGCTTTTTTTCGGCGAAGTATGACGGGTCCCTAATGATGGTGAAAGATCTATCCACTCTGTGATTTACTGGCCCCTCGTGTTTATCATTGCTCGTTTCGTGGAATGATTCGAGTTATATACTAAGTTCTCCATATGCCATTGCTTCTCTGTAGGGTCAACCATGCCTCGGATCAAGACTGTGCATTCGAAGGTTACAAAGGCTCCACATCGTTCTTTTGAGAAGGAGCGTCTCGACCAGGTAACGACGTTTTCACATTCTATGTTCGGCAGGACTTCCAAACCTTGTCAGAGAAAAGTGCATTTTGCGTCAGCTTCATTTTTGTGGTATAATTTGTATGCTGATCGATTTGCTATTTCATCTTTTCATTCCTTTACACTTAGTGAGTGAAAATCTCCCATCTCTGTTCGTCTTTTGCTTGAAGATTTTGATCTAGGAGCAACCTACAGATTTAGCTCGTGTTTTATTGCTGCGTACTTTGATTGAAGAGAAAAGAGCTTCATCAAAAATTTTCAGAGATTTGATAGGCACTAACATGTTTGTGGGTGGAGGACTATATGTCGCCGAAAAAGGGCGGTCCCCGCGGTTATTTGCGACAAATACGCACTCTTGTACATGCGCGGACATGCGTTCCTGCAGGGAATCCGCGCGGGACTCTTCCAAATTCGGCGACATATAGTCCTCCACCCCATGTTTGTAAATATTGGGTTCCGCTCTAATAAATCCCTCTTTTCTGCCTTTGTAATTCTTTCAAAATCTTATATACAGTTACCTGATATTTTGTTGATTTCCTGCGCTCGAGAAAGAAATGATTACTTTTTGGGGAAACGGTCGTAAGGGAACGGCCATAGGTTCGCAGTGTTCGCGGTGTTCGTGGTGTTCGCCGTGGGATAGTATGGCATAGTATAGTAATAGTATCATAGTATCATAATAGTATAGTATCGAATAGTATCATCTGGAATAGTACATATGGCCGATCCCGACAACACCGACAACACCGGAACACCGCGAACATCACGAACACCGCGAACACCACTAACATCGGATACCGCGAACACCGTGAACACTGCGAACCGCGAACACTGCGAACCTATGGCCGTTCCCTAAGGTACAACTCTTCAGGCTATCACTGCTCTTCTTCGCCGTCTTGTACGTATTGGAGTGCTTCCTGAGGATCGAATGAAGCTCGATTACATTCTCGGTCTTCGTGTGGAAGATTTCCTCGAGAGACGTTTGCAGACGCAGGTTTTCAAGTTGGGATTGGCAAAATCCATTCATCACGCCCGTGTCCTAATCAGACATAGCCACATTCGGTGAGCAACTTGTGGATTGTCATATCTTTCCTTTTTTTTCTTATTTTGCATGATTATTTTGCCGCGGGCCTCCGAAGTGGGTTGGCCCATTCGTGAAAATTCTTATCTTTAAAATGGCGCTTCTCGTCAGCTTTCGAGGGTTTCTAGAGGGACCCGTCATATTCGTCGAAAAAAAAACACCCAAAAGCTCCAAAAAAAGCCCAAAAGCGCCCAGAAAGAGCCGGAATGCCCCATTCGCGGCAAGTTTTGGCGCTACGACATGCGTGTTGATTTCGCAACCAAGTCTTTTTCCTTCGTTTTCTCGTCTGCACATCAAAATAATGTCGAGTTTTACCAAACAACAACCCGGATGAAAGAGATTAGTGTGACTTGGCTTTTGTAGTTTCTAGGAATCCGCATTTATTTTAGCTTCTGATGCAGCCGATTATTGTGTCTTTGTCGTGGTATTCTGATTCGTCCTTCTAGCTGTTTGTCTAGTTCAAACTTTTCTTCCTAGGAATTGATGCCAAGGGCTCACGAGCATGGCTGTGTATTCAATTGCTGAAAGTTTAAGCAAGTGTCTGCATCTCGAACTTGGGTGTATGTCAAGAGGCGCGATTTTTGCCAGATGGGACTAATTAGCGCATTTTAAGTGTTTCAAAACGTTTCAAAAGACTTCTGATTTCTGAAGGGATACGTAAGAATCGTTTTCAGGGCAGTTTAAAGGCACCGTCCACCCAAAGTGGGGACGTGTACTCTCTCGCCGAGATTTTTCGTGCGAATTTATATCGCGGTTTGTTCTGTGCCAGGCAATGCTCTGAGACCCAAATGTCACAGATGCTGCAGTCCATATGATTGAGATGATTGTTGTTGATTGATTGATTGATTGCAGTTAATTTGAAATAAATGTCTTGTTTTTTTATTCTTCTATCTTTATCCACAAACGCTAGGGGTGAGAGGGAGGGGGTAAAGAACGGGGTTGAGGGTCGCGCTAAACTCCTACCCGGGGGGGGGGGTCCTATTCGGCTTATTTGGGTGGGGTTTAGAGACAAAATTGGGGTTTGGAGCTTAAAGGCAGCGTCCAGGCAAGTCTGGACCTATGGGGATTTTACGTGGAAAGTACTTTTGGGGCCCTAAAGCCACTGCCCAACCTGCAGCTCAGGTAGTGCCCTAACGGCTGAGATATTCCCCTCGAAACTGAACCCCGCGACCGTGTTTCGCATGGATTCATGGCGCAAAGCGTGGATCCTGGCGCGAAACTGCCATGAATACATGCGAATACGTTCGCGGGGGGTCTGTTAGGGGAATATCTGCGCCATTACACTACCTGAGCTGCTGCTTCGGCAGTGCCTTAGTTAGGGCCCCAAAAGTACTTTCCATGTAAAAGCCCCATAGGTTCAGATCTGCCTGGAAGCTGCCTTTAATTAGGGCTAATTACAGTATGCCGCGACAGACTTGCGGAGCACAAAATCGGGGGGCTCCGGCGCACAAAATCGGGGGGCTCCGGAGCAGAAAATGGGAGGTATCCGGAGCAGAAAATGGGAGGTATCCGGAGCAGAAAATGGGAGGTATCCGGAGCAGAAATGGGAGGTCTCCGCCGGAGAAATGGGAGGGCTCCGCCGGACAAATGGGAGGCCCACCGCTGGGGAAACGGCGCGACCCTGCCATTTCTCCGGCGGAGGGGTCCTATCCGTTGCCTGAGATAAGCGAGGCGGTGGCGCTAAACCGCAACCCCTCATCATTCTTAATTATACAAAGGATACTTTTCAAAAGCTAACACTCTTACTTGCTTTCGGCAGGATCACCTCATTCAGCACTATAAGAAGGATGTTCCACATGGAGTAATAGCGGAAGCCTACAACTTGCACAATTTTCCTTTTCTCTTTAGCTGTTATACTTCAGTGAGAAGTGGTCGTTTCCCAGCGAATGTGAACAGCAATCCATGACGCTGAGCTATCATCATGGCCATAGAAAGTTTGTGCAGCTGGATTTGGTTCACTCGTGAATGGCGGTCCGAGAAGTTTTTTGCGAGGAGAGGAAGGGGCAAAAATTATTAAAAATTATCCATGAAGGTGCGTAGCCACACTTACGACCTCGTAAGGATGCAAAAGGTACGCCTGCAGCCTCAAGGCGGCATTGTAAAAACTCT